GGGGACAACAGCGACGAGGCAGGCTGCAGCCACTCCTGCTCCAGCAAACAGTTCAAGTGCAACAGGGGGCGCTGCATCCCCGTGCACTGGACCTGTGACGGGGACAATGACTGCGGGGACTACAGCGACGAGACTCACGCCAACTGCACCAACCAGGGTGAGTCCTGGGCCACAGCGGGGCTGGCTGCCCCTGTGCCGCTGCTCGGTGTCCTCGTCTGGGGGGATTCAGATCCTGCCCCGGGAGGGAGCATGTGAGTGGCAGATGGACCCTCCCGGGCGTCAGCTCTGCTGCTGTTCCTCCTGGAGAGCCAACCTTCCATGCAGGAGATCCTGCAGCCCCCTCTGCCTGCCCTGGGTGCCCAGATACCCCCTCCTGCACCTCTGGGTGCCCCCAGGCTGAGTGCCTGGTCCTCCTCCTGCCCCCTGAGCGCGTCCGGTTCCCAGCTCGGGGGGGGCGAAGGCAGTGAGCGGGTGCGTGTGCCCTCCCACCAGCCACGCGCCCGCCCGGGGGCTGCCACACCGATGAGTTCCAGTGCCGGCTGGACGGGCTCTGCATCCCCATGCGCTGGCGCTGCGACGGTGACACGGACTGCATGGACTCCAGCGATGAGAAGAACTGTGAGGGGGTCACCCATGTCTGCGACCCCAATGTCAAGTTTGGCTGCAAGGACTCAGGTGAGACCAGGGGAGGGGGGAACCGCTGCCCCTTGCTTCCTCTGACCCGGGGAAGGAGCTGGGACCTGCCTCAGCTCGGTGGCGATGGGGACAGCAGTGGAGGGATGCTCTGGGGCAGCTGGGACCCTGAGTGCCTGAAATAACATCTCCTCCATGTCTGATCTGCCCCCTCCTTGCTCCCCCGTCGGCAGCCCGCTGCATCAGCAAGGCCTGGGTCTGTGATGGGGACAGCGACTGCGAGGACAACTCGGATGAGGAGAACTGCGAGTCACTGGTGTGCAAACCTCCCTCCCACACCTGCGCCAACAACACCTCCATCTGCCTCCCCCCCGAGAAGCTCTGCGACGGCTCCGACGACTGCGGGGACGGCTCCGACGAGGGCGAGCTCTGTGGTGAGTGGGCGACACAGGGTCTCCCCCAGCCAGGAGCGGGACAAGGACCTGACGAGCGCATCCTCTCTCCACAGACCAGTGCTCCCTGAACAACGTTTTTTTTCAACTGCACCGTGGCCCCCGGCGAGGGCATTGTCTGCTCCTGCTCCCTGGGCATGGAGCTAGGCGCAGACAACAAGACCTGCCAGATCCAGAGCTACTGTGCCAAGCACCTCAAGTGCAGCCAGAAGTGCGAGCAGGACAAGTACAACGTCAAGTGCTCGTGCTACGAGGGCTGGATGCTGGAACCTGATGGCGAGAGCTGCCGCAGCCTGGGTGTGTGCGGGTGGGCTGCAGGGGCTGGCAGCATCCCCCCAGCTGCCTGTGACAGGGGGCGTCCCCCTGCTCTCGGAGGCAGCAGTAGCGGAGCTGAGGACCGTGTTGATGGGCACGGTTGGGTCCTGGGGGGGTGTCTGCGTTCTGATGGCGGGCCCCTCGCTGTCCCCACCTGGCATGAGCTGCCCCTTACGATGCAGGGGTGTGAGTGGTCCCGCAGCTGGGGCTGGGGCCAGGAGCCAGGGACACCTTCCACCCACAGGTGTGGGGACTGTTGGTCCCATGCAGCCCCTGCTAGTAGGTGCCCCTGTTCTGACCCTGCCCTGCTTTCCCCAGACCCCTTCAAGCCCTTCATCATATTCTCCAACCGCCATGAGATCCGCCGCATTGACCTGCACCGGGGTGACTACAGCGTCCTGGTCCCTGGGCTACGCAACACCATCGCCTTGGACTTCCACCTCAACCAGAGCTCGCTGTACTGGACCGACGTGGTGGAGGACAAAATCTACAGAGGAAAGCTGCTTGAGAATGGGGGTGCGTAGCCCTGGGGGCCTGGAGCGAGCTGGTGGGGGCCAGACAGGTGGGAAAGCAGCGGTGTGGTTCTGGGGTAGGGTGCCGGCCATGACTCCTTGGCACCCCGCAATGGTGCAGCCACTGGGACCCACAGCCCTGTACTGATCCCGTTCTGCTCTCCAAAGCTGCTCATTATGTAGAAGTTAATTAGCATTCCCAGCACTTCCCTAATGGTAATTGCAGCCCAGCAGCTGGGAGCACAAAGCCGGGCCCCCTCCCCACCAGTGCTGCAGAGGGGGCAGCCGCAGGGGGGCAGCGAGAGCCCAGCACCGGGCCACGGATGTGGGGCTGAGCCCTTTGGGGTTCCCACCCCGTTTGGGGAAGAAGCTTCCCCATGCCAGTGAACCCGGTCAAGCCGGGTGGAGCTGTTGAGGAATGGGGCACAATGGTGGCGGGTGGGCCGGGGAGGAGGCACCAGCCTGAGCCCTCCCGGCGCTGTGCCCCACAGCTCTGACCAGCTTCGAGGTGGTGATACAGTACGGGCTGGCCACCCCCGAGGGGCTGGCTGTGGACTGGATCGCTGGCAACATCTACTGGGTGGAGAGCAACCTGGACCAGATTGAGGTGGCCAAGCTGGACGGCACCATGCGAACTACGCTGCTGGCTGGGGACATCGAGCATCCCCGTGCCATTGCCCTGGACCCCCGCTATGGGTAAGGCAGGAGGGGACATCAGTCACCAGGAGACAGTGGCACCGTTGGGGTCTTGTGCGGGAACCAGGCCACGGGCTCCTGTCTGGACGCACGCCCCGCTGCTGATTCGGGAGGCAGAGCTTGGTGTCTTTGTGCTGACCATCTCCGCTCGCTGTCCCTCACAGGATCCTCTTCTGGACAGACTGGGACGCCAGCCTGCCCCGCATCGAGGCTGCCTCCATGAGCGGCGCGGGCCGGCGCACCATCCACAAGGAGACGGGCTCGGGGGGCTGGCCCAACGGGCTCACTGTCGACTACCTGGAGAAGCGCATCCTCTGGATCGACGCCAGGTAGGACCGGGACACCCATCTCTGCCCCACGCCTGCCTTTTCCCATCGCCTCTGGACCCCTGCCCCCTTCCCATCCCTCCCAGCTCTGGCACCTTCCCCCTTGCTTCTGTGGTGTTCTGCCGTTTCACTGCTGTGCTGAGAGCGAAAGCCTTTGCTCCATGGGGTCTGTTTGCGTCTGCAACACATTTCAGCCTTTGCTCTGTTTTTTTTTCCTCTGCGGGGACTGCGATCCCTGGTGTAAATCAGCAGTCCTCCTCCTCCTCCTCCCCCTCCTCTGCAGCAGCAACATTAAGCAGAGTAGAGGAGGCGGCTGCTTGGACCCTGTGGGCTGTTGCTGCTGGGTTAAAGACGTGGCCTTTGCCTGTGCCTGGCACCCCGTGCCCAGGTGTCTGCCTGCTCTCACCCCTTGTCTCTGCCGGGCACAGGTCAGACGCCATCTACTCAGCCCTGTACGATGGAACGGGGCACATCGAGGTGCTGCGGGGACACGAGTACCTGTCGCATCCCTTTGCCGTCACCCTGTATGGGGGTGAGGTCTACTGGACTGACTGGCGTACCAACACGCTGGCCAAGGCCAACAAGTGGACAGGGCACAACGTGACGGTGGTGCAGAGGACCAACACGCAGCCTTTCGACCTGCAGGTGTATCACCCCTCGCGGCAGCCCCTGGGTGAGGCCTGGGGAAGTGGAGGCGGCGGGATGGGGTGGTGGGAGCACGGTGGGGAGATGGTGCCGGCACTTGGTGTGTGCTCATACCCACTCAGAGCAGTGCATAGGAACTGCCCCCACCCCCATGGCTGCTCCTTCTCACCCCCGGCTGAGCCAGAGGCCTCCGCTGTGGCACTGGCGGCCCAGCACAGAAGTGTCTTGGGGTGATGAGGCTGATGGGTCAGAGCTCCTCACCGGGGCAGGGAGGGTCTGGGAGGTCTGCAGCTCTCTGGGGCTTCCTGGGTTGGCGTCCCCGGGAGCAGGGACATCACTGAGTCTTGTCCCCTTTGCAGCTCCTAATCCCTGTGAAGCCAACGGGGGCAAAGGGCCATGTTCCCACCTCTGCCTCATCAACTACAACCGCACCCTGTCCTGTGCCTGCCCCCATCTCATGAAGCTGGACAAGGACAACACGACCTGCTATGGTAGGGGTCTGCCCAAGCCGCCCTGGGGTGGGGAGGACAAGTGGGTGCTTCAGCGCTGGCTTTGCAGGCCAGGCTGAAGTCCCACAACTGCACCTCTCATCCTTCTCCCCAGAGTTTAAGAAGTTCCTGCTGTACGCGCGGCAGATGGAGATCCGGGGTGTGGACATCGACAACCCCTACTACAACTACATCATCTCCTTCACGGTGCCCGACATCGACAACGTCACGGTGGTGGACTACGATGCCCTGGAGCAGCGCATTTATTGGTCTGATGTCCGCACTCAGACCATCAAGAGAGCTTTCATCAATGGCACCGGAGTGGAGACCGTTGTCTCTGCGGGTGAGTGTGGAGGAGCATCACAGCTGCTCCTATCGGGTCCTGGAGTGGGGCACAGCTGTGAGTCCTCCAGAGGCTTCGGCTCCATGAGATTAGCCCTTTGTCTTCATCTGAGCATCATCCCAGCCCCGTTCTCACAATTAATGAGTCTTCCTTCTCTGTTGCCTTTCAGACCTGCCCAACGCTCACGGCCTCTCTGTGGATTGGGTTTCCAGAAACCTCTTCTGGACTAGCTACGATGCCAACAAGAAGCAGATCAACGTGGCCCGGCTGGATGGCTCCTTCAAGAATGCGGTGATCCAGGGGCTGGACAAGCCTCACTGCCTGGTGGTTCACCCCCTCCGGGGGTAAGTCTCTGGTGGGACACGGTGGAAGCAGGCTTGGGGTCAGGCCGGGAGCATCAAAGGAAAAGGTGTACATGAGGCACACGTGTGAGTGCGCGTGACAGTGCCCGTGTGTGGTGGAGGAGAGAACAGGTTGCTCTCCCGATGTGTCAGTGCGTGTAGGAGGTGTGTGAGAGGAGATGGGGCCACAGCTCGGGAGGTGTGCGCCTGTCGGTGTGTGCGAAGGAGCAGGCTGCGTTTCTGTAACACGCCTGCGTGCGCGTGAAGGAGGACAGGCTGCAGATAAGCGTGCGTTCACAAGTATGTGCCAGTCTGGGTGTGCATGGGGCTTTGCTGGGCAGGGCTGGGTGAGTGCTTCCAAACACCAAATGCCCTCCCAGGTCCTGGCACACGAGGCGAGGAGGCCATGGGGCTGCCCGGGCTGTGCAGCAAGAGGGGAGAGGCTGGAGAGGAGCCAGGAGAGCAGGCAGGGGTGGCAGGGGCTGGCGGAGCCTGGGTGCGCTGGGAGGGCCATCTCCGTGGGGCTGCTGGAGCTGCTGTGCTCAGTGTCCCCTTACCGGTGCAGGAAACTCTACTGGACAGACGGGGACAACATCAGCGTGGCCAACATGGATGGCAGCAACCGCACTCTCCTCTTCACGAACCAGAAAGGGCCTGTTGGTATGGGCTCCCCTGCCCCCTCTGTACCAACCCACCTTGCGGCACCCTTGCTGGTCCTGAAAGCCTCAAACCCCGACTCTGGCAGCCCTGGCTCCACAGGGCGCTGGCGGGTGGTTTGTGCCGGGTCGCCCTGACCTCGCATGCCCCTTCTCTCCATCACCCCATCCACTCTGCTGGTCCCATCCCACCTCCCAGATGGTGATGGTGCCTGCGTGCTGCCTGGACACTGACAGTCCCTTGCTTTCCAGGCCTGGCAATTGACTACCCGGAGAGCAAGCTGTACTGGATCAGCTCTGGCAATGGCACCATCAACAGATGCAACCTAGACGGCAGCAACCTGGAGGTGATCGAGTCCATGAAGAGTCAGTTGAGCAAGGCGACCGCCCTGGCCATCATGGGTGAGAGCTGGCAGGGTGATGGGGGTGGTTCATGAAGCCCTTTCCCTTTCTCCTGGCCCTGCCCAAACACAGACTGCTCGTTGCCATCTCTAGCAGCTGTGGTGGGGATGTTTCTGCACTAAAGGCTGAGCTCAGACCCCTTTTTCCGGGCCATTGCATGTAAATCTGTGTGGAGCGACCGCTCTTTGCTGCTGGGGCGGGAGCGGATGGGGAAAGCTGCTGCACGTTCCTGCCTTCTCCTTCCAGGCAACAAGCTATGGTGGGCTGACCAGGCCTCTGAGAGGATGGGCACCTGCAACAAGAAGGATGGGACGGAGGTGACAGTGCTGCGCAACAGCACCACGCTGGTGATGCACATGAAGGTGTATGACGAGACCATCCAGCAAGGTGAGGGCAGAGACCCCCCAGGGCCACACAGCAGCTTGTCCGCTCCGCTGAGGTACCAGTGGTGCCAGAGTCTGGCCCACAGTGACCGGGTGGCCACCTGACCCCATCCCTTCCTGCTGGCCCAAGCCTGGCCTTGCTCTCATGCTGGGTCCCTGCCGGCTGGCCCAGAGCACCCCCGTCTCCTGTGGCTGCCCCAAGTGGCTCTGGCCCTGGCTGCCGCAGCCTCTCCCCGGGTGCCGGCAGCACCACGGGTGTCCCCCAGCCACCACTCACCCCTCTTCTTTCCATGGCAGCTGGAACCAACCCCTGCAGCCTAAATAACGGCGACTGCTCGCAGCTCTGCCTCCCCACTTCCGAGACCTCCCGGTCCTGCATGTGCACGGCGGGCTACAGCCTGAAGAGCGGGCAGCAGTCCTGCGAAGGTGAGCGCTCCGGTCGCCGTCCCCTCACCCCAACTACCTCCTTGGAGCAGAGAGACCCCGCAGCCTCCCCCAGCCATGCCTGCTGCGTGCTGCGGCTCTACCTGTGCCGCACGGTGCTGCGCAGCCAAGCAAGTCGTGTGTGCCGGCGTGGTGCGCAGGGGGCTGCTACCACTTGCTCCGGCTGCGGCTGGGTGTGGCCCCCTCCCGACCGCCC